ATAGCAACACAAAAACTTTTTTTTGTCCATCCAGCCTTACATCGGAATCAGAATCACTTTATTGCCACTGTCAGTGAACAAGTTCACAGACTAAGGATTTGCTCTGATGTAATGGTGCAATATAATGGAAAGAGATAAAAGTAGAATTAAGCATAGGTAAAATGAGGAGAAACAATAATAAAATAAAATTATATAAAATATAAAAAATGTACAGTATGCACATACATGTGCAAAGTGGCAGGTGTGTAGAGTGACTATGTTATGCCAGAGTCATTTAACTGTTGTTTAACTGAGTCTAATTGCTGAAGGAAAAAAAACTGTTCTTGTGGCGGGAGCTTCCAGTCCGGATGCACCRTCTCCTGCCTGAGGGGAGGAGCCTAAACAGGCTGTGACTGGGGTGAGAAGGGTCACTCGCAATGCGACCTGCATGACTTAGAGTTCTGGAGAAGTGCAGGTAAAGGTCGGAGGTTGCAGCCGATCACCTTCTCAGCAATGTGCRCAATGTGCTGTAGTCTTTGTCTGTCCCTGGCTACGGCCCAGTGTACCATGCTATTAGAAGAAGTGAGGATGGACTGGATGATGGCTGTGTAAAACTGCACCATCATCTCATTTGGCAGTTTGAGAGTCATCAAATGCTGTAGGAAGGACATCTTCTGTTGTGCCGTCTTGATGATGTCTAATGGTCTGCTCCCACTTGAGGTCCTGGGTGATGGTAGTGCCCAGGAAACAGAATGCTGAAGATGACAAAATTGTAGTGGGTAAGCATAGACCTTATTTGGCAGTTCTGTCATAAATAATTTGACTTAATAATTCATAKAATGTCATAAAAACAGAGAAAACTGAACAGGTGGATTTTGCTTTTAATCATTTCTGTATCAGAGTTTTTTTAACAGCCTTCTACATCCAAAACTTTGCCTGGATCTCACAATACAACAGCTGCATATCAGTCTAATCTAACTACATCTAAAACCCCTACAAGCTCTCAGTGTCCAAACTCCATAGTTTACAACTCATAGTAAGAAAAATGTAGTAGGTTGTGTAAGATGTAAATAAAAACAGAACAAAATGCTCCACATAGTTTTGTAAAACTAGAGTAAATCTGGTAAATGTGACATTCACTTCCACTTGTAACAATTCACTTCATGTTACACAGATATTCCTGATTTACCATGGGTGAAAAACAACACAATGTCTCGGTAAAAACAGTTGCTGGTAACAGAAACAGGAAGCCTGGAGTGTTYAGGATGTTTTCAACAAAAGGGGAAAAGTTCAGAAAAGAGATTACAGTCAGATGAGAGATTATAATCTGGAAAGAAAGGATTTGAGACACAAAATTACGATCACTGCCTGAAGGGGAACACAAAAACACAGCAGGTTGCATCATCTAGTGCAAGCTGTTTTCAGCCATTTTTAGCTGTAACAAATCAACTCTTCTGTAAATCAGTCACCCAGTTACTGTTAATGTAGCTAAATGTAACAACTCAGCTTATCATTCTGACTTTTAACAGGTGAGGAGGTTTAATTGAACAATCTCATGATGCTTAATTGATTAATAATTGCCTTTTTATTGTTTGCATGATTTGTCAGTGCAGCTGAAAAAACCATTAGGACACTTTTTTCAAGTCGATGTTTTTACAAGTTGGCTAAAAGTTCTAATCTCAGTGGAGCTGTGACTGTTTACATGAACCGTAGCTCATTTGGACCTGTGAGTCTGAAACAGCAGAATCAATCTTCCTGTGTTGGATCTCGTTCTTCCTTCTGTGTTTGTGTCTCTCGAGAAGACGGGCCTTGACGTTTCTCGCCCGCTATTCCCTGTTATCTGTGTTTTCTTTTCTTTGCAGGCTTGGCAAGTRTTGGGGACCACGCAGGCTGAAAATGAAAATGAGCAGGCAGCGATTGTTTGCCTCCAAAGGTAATAAAAAGCACAACTGTATTCATTTTCTGATGTAAAGTCTGTAACGGCTGTTAAAAATATGAAGCTCAAATGTACATTTGCCTAGAAGTTTCTACAAACTTTTCGACAGCAGTGCACCCAGTGGGATCAAAGCGACGTAGCAAATATATAAATAAAAGTGTTATGGTTACAGCTCAATGAAGAATAAGACCCCCAGTTTGCTTTTGAATTGCCAAAGTTTTTAAATCAGGGATTGGAAGAAGAAGTAGCGTAATTTTTCAGTTCTCAAAGTGGAAGAACCCCACATGGATGCTGATTGCACAAGTCGAGGTTCTGACTGGAGTCCTCAGTGGGATGTGGCCCACTTTCATCCATAACACTGCTGAAGCCAAAGATTGCACCTTCCTCGGAGTGTGAACACTGACAAGTCAACTGAAAATACTTGAGACAGGAGTCGAGGAGAAATAATCCCTTCTTTTTTTTTCAAGTATTTCATAAATGGTTTGTTTTGTGGAATAAAGATGCATTTTTCAAAAATCAGAAATGGATTAGAAGGATGAGGCTAATTTAAATTTTAGTTTCAACACAAATCTTATTTAATCCTAYAGGCTTGTGTGTATCAATACCAGTGAACTCTCAGGTGGTTTGAATGGTGGAAAATTGACTTCWTATTATATAATAACTCCATCTGTGAGGGCAGCAGTTTGGTATGAAAGGATAGATGTTAAATTTATATATTTATTTTTTTCATTTTGTTGCTCCATTGGTTTCTCTCCAGATCATGTTACAATACTGTTGAAAGAAATATGAAGGTCAACATATAAAAATTTGCATGTGTTTTCATGCACACATGTTTCCACGGATCTGTGAAACACAATTGCAGCAAGAAACTAAAACAGCTAATTTCTTGGACCTTTCCTTGAGAGAATGGTTCAGGCTTTTTTTAATGGGTTTCTTTGAAGAGAATGTAAGTGGCTACCTTTTCGTGACAYACACAACAGTCAGAACTGGATAAGAAAAAGAATCAGGGAGAAATTCACTTGAAGAAGTTGAGCTACACCTTGTCAGACTCAGAGGCCTATTCCAGAGCAGCCATCCAAAATAACTCAGACTTCAAATATTTTAACTGAAAGGTTCCACTCTGCTTCTTTGTTGGATTTCTGATCCGTGGTCAAAGGAAATGTGAATGACTCTAAGCTACTACCACGACAAACTTTAGCTTAATATCTGTAAAACTGAATGAGTTATGGTTATTTTTGTGTTGGTTCAAATTGCTTTGTTGCATGGGCACAAATGACACTAGGGACGGTGGGGCACAATCTCCTTGTCCCCAGATTCACTGTGGCCCGGAGCCATCCCCCAACTATTCCTACAGTACATARGGCGAGTAAAATATCTGATTGAAACTGATGATTAATGTTCTGTTAGACTAACTTACATTGCAGCTTCCTTTGAGATTCCAGCATAATGTATGTGTCCTGTGACTGCATTAATTGTTGTGGTAGCCATCTTGAATGAAACAGACTAATAGATCAGTTGTAGGTGTTTCTCTGTTGATTATTTTCTGGAAGTTTTATTAAAACCAATCTAGTAGTTCATGAGATATTTTGCTAACTGTACAGACACACACACCGACAGAGAGACAGGCAAAAAAAACATTATCGCTCCACCTTTGTTTTTGTCATATAACATAGTATTTGCTTGTTTTTAAGCAGGGGTGGAGCCAGAGGGGTGGTTGTGGTGGCAAATACCACCCCTGGCATCTGATTGACCACCCCAGGTTCCACCCCTTAATAATGGACAAGTGGGTGGGGATCTTGGATTTTGCATTTGCATTTAGATTTTGTTATTGTTTTTTGACACTACTATACTATATGAATTTTCAGCTGTGTATATTTAAAAATGGCTGAATTATAGGAAGTAGTAAAATGATAGTATTTTTATAAAAAAAAAATTAGCATTAGTATTAGTGGTTAGGTCCTGATGCATCTCAGTAATCCAGGTAAAAAATCAAATGTGGTCTGTGCAAGATTGAAATCAGACACCACTCTCAGCAGCAGAACCACACTTTCCACAGAACAAGTGTGCCAACTCCTCAAACTGTGCCTGGAATCAACCTACTTCACGTATGGGGGGCAATATTATAGGCAGAAACATGGGTGTGCCATGGGATCCCCAGTTTCTCCTATTGTTGCAAACCTGTACATATAGGAAGTGGAAAAGAGAGCCTTGATGTCCTTTTCAGGGGTGCCACCGAGCCATTGGTTCAGATATGTTGACGACACCTGGGTTAAAATTAAAGCCCAGGAAGTCCAACATTTCACTGATCACATCAACTCTGTGGATGAATATATAAAGTTCACACGAGAGGATGTAAAAAATGGCAGGTTGGCGTTCCTGGATTGCGATGTCTCGGTTTCGGATGGAGGACGGTTGGAAACTGGCGTGTATCGTAAGCCCACCCACACAGACCAATATTTGCGTTTTGACTCCCAACACCCACTGGAACACAAGTTAGGAGTGATCAGGACTCTGTACCACAGAGCAGACAATGTCCCTACAAACCCAGGAGCCAGGGAGAAAGAGAAATCAYACACACGACAGGCCCTGGAGCAGTGTGGTTATCCTGACTGGGCTTTCCTGAAAGCAGACAGGAAACACAGACAGGATTCCATGCAACCTTCAGGTGAAAATGAAGACCCCAAACCCAGACCCAAACCAGTGGTTATTCCGTATGTTGCGGGTGTTTCGGAGAAACTGAGACATTTATTTTCTAAACATGATGTCCCAGTRGCTTTCAAACCCCAAAACACATTACGGCAAAGGCTGGTTCACCCCAAAGATCCGGTGCCCCGGCACAAACAGAGCAATRTTGTATATGCTGTTAAGTGCCAGGAGGACTGCGACCAGTTATACATTAGGGAAACAAAGCAACCACTGTTCAAAAGAATGTTCTTGATAGGGAGGAACGTTGGTTTGAGAGAGGAGTAAAAGAAGCCATTTTTGTAAAGAAAGACCGTCCATCATTAAACAGAGGTGGGGGCCTCCGTTTTCAGCTGTCCCCCTGCTACAGCGCTGCCATTGGCAGTATCACTCCACCCCCTGTTAACAAAAGGGATTAATTAGGGTGAACGATGGCCATGTGATGTGAGTATGAGTAACCTGTGAACGATGGCCATGTGATGTGAGTATCAGTCACCTGGAGGCAGGACATAAAAGCCTGAATTTTGCCTGAAACTCTCAGACTGAAGAAGTCTCTTGGAAGAGAGACGAAACGTTTCATTAAAGAAGAACCCGTCCAGARGACCTATACAATTTTTTTTTCCTTTTATTAGTGGTTAGCTTAATTTGGGATTAGCATTGGAAATATGTGAGCGTTCTTAGCTGCTACTCTACAGATTTTATCTGAACTAGTCTTAAAATGGTCAGGTTTTAGCTTTTTAAAGTTAGCTTTGGTGGCCATCTTGAATTTTTCATTATTTAGAATTAAAGATTGTTTTTCAGCTACTTCAACACTAATCTTCAGCTTTGTCTAAAATTGGCTGAATATTAAGTTTTGACTAGCTTTTAGCATGTTTTTGGATCATTTTTATCTATGATCACACAATTTTAGCTCAGTATTTCTTAAAACAAATGAATTAAAGCCACTTAGAAACAATTGTGGCACCTGTCTTGAATTTTCCAATCAAGAGCATTTTCCTGTACTTGTATGTGCTCCCTCTAAAAAATGAAACATCTTTGCCACCTGTGTCACCCCTTGCAAAAAAAAAAACCTTGCTCCGCCCCTGCTTTGAAAGGTTCATTATGAAACAGACACATCTGTGTGACTGCATGAGAAATTTAAATGGTGAAGAGGACATAAATTTCTGCCTCACCACAGCAGGGTGCTGAAATCATTTAGTTGGTGTGGGATTATGGTTTTAAGCACGTTGGCGAATCAAGAGCAGCAAATCAAGCCTGAATGTTGATGAAAGCCTAATCTTGTTCTGGCCTCTCACCTACTCTCCCAATTAATCCAAGACTTTCATCCAACACTCTTCTGTCCTACTCTCCGTTTTGCCACAGAAGACATCTGTAGAAGTTGTTTATGTGATGTATTCTATGATGTAACGACAGCAATCATCTCAAACACCTCCCGTCTCCAGTGAGATCACAGAGACGTGTTCCCCTAAATGCAAAGCTAATTCAAATCACCCAGGTGTGGGCCAGCATGCAAACCTGCTCTTCTGGAGCAAAGTCAGGGCAAAAAAGATGCAGCTCATCCATCCTGAATTGATCAGCCTCCGCCTGATGTTCCTCTGCTTTGGCCTGTCTTAATTAATGCTTGTCAAATCGAAATTTCTCTTTGAAGTGTATTCCTTACGCYGTCTCTCCTGTCTGGCCTGGTTCTTGTTTCCATCCAGGTGTTTGGAGCTGCACCCAAATAACCTCCCGGCCCTCATGGCTCTCGCCGTGAGCCTGACCAACACAGGGATGCGTCACGATGCCTGCGAGGCCCTGCTCCGATGGCTCAGAYACAATCCAAAGTACAAGCACCTGCTGAAGGGCAAGACCCACTTGATAGGGTCCCCGAACTCTCAGCGCAGGATGTCTTGCGCTCCCAACATGAGCCGACATGAAAGGTAGAGTTGACACCATTTAATGTTTAACATAGTTTACTCTTTGTCATTTTTATATAAAATACAAAAGTGAGGAATGAGGAATCAACAGGAGGAAAATGACAACATTTGCTGTAATAAATAATGAAATCTGCTGCAATTTATTTGTTATATCTAGACTACCATAAAGGATAAACCAATCATTTCAGATGAAGCAAACAATGCAGTAATCAGTAAGTAGGTCAACTGGCTATTGTAGTAGTTCATTTTTATTTAATTGCAATAATGTTCGAACATGTCCATCAAATTCAAAATATTTTTCCCACTTTTAAAGTCTTATTTGCTTTATTTTAACTGCCCTGACTTTGTCAGAGAGTCTAAATGTATTTCATGAGTTCACCACCACAGCTGATGTTATTTAAAGGAGACATATCATGATTTAAAATCCTTCTTTTTCCTCCTGAGAACCGAGCCTTTTCTGGATGTGCATTTTTTCATTCTCTAAGATACATGGGATTAGTAGGACCTAATAACTATAATAACTAGACCCTGTCATGGAAGTGGTTTTTGAAAAAAAAAATGATGTCCTCATATGAGAACACTAGGTCTCAAACTGTTATGCTTTTTGAGGAATACCTTAGAAATTACCATGCAAAACCTGAGAAACTTCATGTTAGCCTTTCTGGTGGTTCCATTTTCCTAGTCATTTTGGCAATACAACAGCCATAATGACATAATATTTCAGAAAACGTCAAAGAAAATAGAGAAAACTGAACAGGTGACCTAAACAGAATATAAATATATCACACAGCACCAGGAGAAACTGAATTAAACTTTTATGCACACYTAGAGACTCCAAAAACACAACAAAATGCATTTATTGGATTAAAAACATGGGTATTGCATGATATGTCTCCTTTAATTTCATTAGTGGGACTCTATACATGGGTCCAGGAGTATACATCCTGTAAAACAGCCTTTGCAGCTGTCTAGTGCATGATGTTGTTTGATGTTGTTAGGCCTATCCAATTTTTTTGAAAAGCCTTATTCTTCTCCCAATGCAAAGCTGAACATTATCAAACCATTAATCGTCTAGCTGGTGCGGAGAGATACAGGTAGAACCCAATTACCGAGCTATCCCCTCCAGACCATCAGCTTTTTCCCCCCTTTTTTAATTTCTGCAGCACAGTCCATCCCTCTGTCCTTAGCCTTCTCTGCACAGCTATTCAGCATCTCTTTTCCYTGTCAAGTATGTCTACTTCACCCTCCAATCATCTTTTGTGCTCAACTTACCTAAAAAGGCCAACTCTTATCTTTACACAAACAATAGAAGCAGATGACCATTGAGGCTGAGTTCATTCTTTTTTCAGTGAAATTGTTGTTTTACAAAGGATCTGTCTAAATTCACATCTACAAGGTTTATTTTTTAATAATCAGCCCTCCACAGTTCTTTTTCTCTTCCCTCTCTTTCCCTGCTTATCCTCTATGAACGCAAGTTTACATATCTCACACCATRGTTCTGCGGAGTTCTCACACAGTAGTCTGAAGCTACATCAAGCCTTCTCTCTTTGTGTGTGTTTGTGTGTGTGTTCACAGCTCACTGCTGCCAGAGGTCAAGGAGCTCTTTCTGGAAGCAGTTCAGCACAACTCAGACAGCATTGACCCGGATTTACAGACGGGCCTTGGGGTGCTCTACAACCTCAGCGGAGAGTTCAACAAAGCTGTAGAGGCCTTCAACACAGCCCTGTCAATTCGGCCCGAGGTAGGAAAGCCCTTACACACAAACACACACACATACACAGACTCAAGCTATAACAATGTCTACAACTGAGACAACTCTCAATGAAGAACGCATTAGAAACTGTTTAATGAACAACAAAAAGGTGATAAAAGTTCTTCAGTRCAAAAGTCTAAATTAATCACAATGCAAACAATAAAATTAGATAAAAGATTCACAAAATGAGAATAAAACACCGGACTATTTAAAGTCTGCCTGAATAAAAAKGTTTTAAGATAAATTAAAAAAAACTCAAGTCAGTGTAGGAGCATACACTGTAAGAAATGAATGGTTGAATTTACTTATCCAAACTGGTTCTACTAAACCATTTTGAGTAAATTGGACAACTAACATATTTTCTTTAAAAAATAAATGGAAATTTCTTGACATTTTCTCAACTCGGTTTAGTGGAACCAGTTGCCAAAACTTTAAGTAAATTTTAACATTTTATTTTTTAGAGTGTAAGTCCTGAAGAAGCTGCTTCCAAAGTCTRGGTGCAGCAACTAAAGGACTTGGAGAAAATTAAATGCAGTGGCTGTGTTTCAATTCACGGGCTGCATCCTCTTGAATACGGACCACGTGGGCCACATCCTGCCACCGTATCCGTTCTCTGTTTAGTTKGCTGTCGGCGCATTGCATCCTGGGATATCCTCGSCCAGAAAAAATACTCAGATGCGTCCTTGMTTTTCAAGATTTTGTGGATTGCGTTCCTTGGCCGCATGATGAGGAGCCTCATCAATGCTCGTTGTGGAGCATTGATGTACAGTATGCAGCCGACAAATGCGCTCTGAGGAGGATGCAGCCCATGAATTGAGACACAGCCAATAATATCTACACCAAGACACAAATTTAAATACACAACCAAAATTCATCATGGGTGGAGTTGTTTCTGCACTCTAAAAAATGAAGCGTTGAAGTTACTTAAYCAAGTTATGTCAACTGGTTCCACTAAACTAAGTTGACTAAACTGAGCAATTGTATGACTCTAACATTATTTACTTCTATTGTAAAAGACATAAAGTAAGCTCTGAGCATATGTTTGTGTCACTTCTACTCTTTCTTTTTCAGTACAGCTGAAAAACCAGGAACAACATTTTTATGTACTCATTTATTTSTGTTTTGCTACTGGACTAAACTAAATCTGAAAAACTTGCTACACATCAGAAACAACAATTTCTACTTGTAAACGCAATGGTCACGCTTAATAATGACAAGTTTATTATGGATTTTTACATCAATAAATCATTAGAAGATTATAAAACTAGCATGTACAGAATTTAAAATTGTGCAGTCAGCTGAATGAGCAGTGTTAAAATAAGGCAGGGTATATGCAGTTATGATGCCCTCAGGACTGTTCTCACCACTCTGTTCAATAGAAATTAGTCACTGTTGGTCTATAAAAGTCACCAGATTTGTTGTTATTTGCTTCATCAAAAATAAAATCTACAAAGTTGCTAAGCTGGCAACAAAGAAATTTGCCTGCAGCTTCGGAGGACGAAACGGAGCAGAATAATGAGCTTGCAGAAAGAAAAAACAATGCAAAAGAAACAGTTTATTAAAGATTAAAGCAAAACATATCTGCACAAAATGCTGAAATGCAGCATTAATTTTTTAAAAGTATCAGTATACCTTTATATGTACATGTAGTTTGATATACYAGTCAGAGCTGTTGGACGTTTTAGTAAAAAGGTTGTAGCTGATGCACGTTCTGTAATTTGTGCACATGAACATATTTCTTGTTTTTTACACTATTCTGCAACTGAAAGTAATTTGGCTTCGAGCCTGCGATGACTCTGAGTTGTGTTGGCTTGATATACCTTCTGTAAGTTGTGGTTGGTGAACACTCAGGACGCTCTGGTTTCCTCTGAGAGTCAACATATCTGACAGCTGCTTGACTCCAGCTGGCACAGCAATATGCCAAAGATGGAAACTCGGAGTGTTTAATGAAACACTATTTATGGTTGATTTAAGATTCATTCTAATACTCATTATAGTGAATCTCAGAAGATTTCTTTTTATAGATTTTTTTTGACCAAATGCAAAAAGTTTCATCAGTTATTTTTGAAAGATGTCTTATACTTTTAGTGTAGTTTTATTGACATGCCTGTTTATTCCTATTTTTTTCTTGTTAAGGAATTTAGGTTTACATATGTGTTCGTAAAGCACTATATAAATAAAGCTGAGTACAAAATATGACATTGCATTTTTCTGAAAAGCAGATTAACAACACTGCCTCCTATATTGATTACACCTATAGTAGTTTAGACCTGCCAAACAACTGAAAGAAGTTTGTTTGAAAAGTGCTCTAGGAAAATAATACAATAAAGTAAAAGTGAATTTGAGGAACGAAGGTGAAAAATGTGACGTAATCAAAAATTTGGTGCCATCAGAACTCCAGTGCCCATAAGGTTGTGTAAATTCTGACATCAGGAGCAGAGTTCTGAGAGCTTAAGAAGCTAAAAGAAGCAGGTGAGCAATGAGGCGAGTTAAMTTAGAACAAACTTTTTTGTTTCTTTTCCCTCTTGCAAATCCATCCATGCCCTCCCTGCACTGTCCTGGGCTGGGCTGGCATGAGTATGACTCACTCCAGTTTCTTATTTGACTTGGTAATTTCTGCTCCCCTACTGGAGAGGAAAAACTGCTCTGAAAACAAAAGGGGGGATAATTATCTCCAGCTACCAGGTTTAACAAAAGATGAAGGACCCCTGCACTGACCTCTGTGTGAGCCTGTTTGCCTGCAGGTGGGAAACAAGAACATCCGGTGTGATGTCTTTTTTTTATTTATTTTTTTGTAGATTATCCTTGCTTGGCCATTTTATTGGAGAAAAAAAATCACATAGCACATCAAATGGAGTAATTTTTTACACACTATTTCAGTTGCATTTCTGCCTACAATTATATTTTTAATGGATGAAAAACATTTAAGCTGTAACATGTAAAGAAAAGTGTTAATTTTTAAACTAGAATCATTATGTCACTAAGTTAAGTTAAATAATCACTGACTTTGCTTCCATATACAGTACACTGATATGTTGGTCGACACCAACCAAAAACACATCCGACTAAAAGATTTTTGTGTCTTTGTAATCTCTAATCAACCCAACACTCAACCTTCATCCAGGACTACTTATTGTGGAATCGACTGGGAGCCACGCTGGCAAACGGGGACCGCAGCGAAGAGGCGGTGGAGGCTTATACAAGAGCTCTCGAGCTGCATCCAGGCTTYATCAGGTCACGCTACAACCTGGGCATCAGCTGTATTAACCTAGGGGCACACAGGTGAGTCACCTGGGACAACATGAGAACAGCTTTGCTCTGGTTTGATGCAATGGAAGACACACAAAACACACATTTTAAAGGAGAGGCATTATGCAAAATCGACTTTTTTTTATCTTTATATCATGYTATAATGTCATTCCTTCATCAAACCCCTACACGGAGTGGATTTAATTCATTCATGCACATTTGAGAAATCCTTGTAGCCATTTGGAGGTGCAAAATTGCTTGCTCAGACAAAGTACCCACACACACATAGCCCCACCGGACTAAGCAAAACATATCTTAAAAATGGTGGATGTTCATATTTTCATTGCAAAACATAGCTTCATAATAATCTACACTTATAGCTTCTTCACAAAAGACAGCCTAACATTGGCGTATGAGAGGATGACTGGGAGTTATTACCAAAATAAAATGTTGTGTAAGAACCTCTGTACTTGCCCCGGTTCTTCAAAAAATGTACTTTCCTGGTTCAATGTGGGATCATTAGAGTAAGGTTTAACTGTGTCCTTAGTAGCCATTTTCCAAAACCGATATATAATGTTGCTTCTTTTTTAACAACAAATACAATGCTCCTATGAAAAGGCTGTAAACGGCATGAAGAATTGTTGGGAAGACGTGCTGAAGTGGGAGTGGTGGAAACGGTAGGAGGTTCTTAAAGAGACAGAGGCCAAATTCATTTTTGATTTATACAGTACTTTCATAACAACTGAAGGCAGCATGGTATACAGTAGAACAGATGTGTCTGGAAAAAACATAATATCCCCTTTAAAACATGGATTGTTTTAAAATGTTTCAGAATGAAAGATAAAATGTTGTTTTTGTCAGGCATAAAGCATTTTATATATGTTTGCATTGAATCTTGATTATGGTAACAGAATTCATGAGATTAAAGAGGATTCCCTTTACTTTTGTGTGTGTGTACATGAGGGCTGGYGAGTAACTCACACACATGCCAAAATGCTCTTCAACTCGTCCTTTATATTCACACCAAAAGTAAGGTGGGAAGTCTGGGTTCATCTTTAAATTCKGTGGTGCTAAAAGCTAGGTGACATAGGAAAAACCCGCAAGACTTGCTGGTGATCTACTGCGACAAAGCCACAGTTCAGATACTAGCTGGAAACATGCTAGCAATAACTTTACGTCAGAACTCAGACACGTGCTTTATTTAGAGATTTATTTGATTGTTCACAAACAACAGCATATTTATCCCTTGATTATTATTTTTTTGTTTCCCCAGAGAGGCAGCCAGTAACTTCTTGACTGCTTTGAGTCTTCAGAGAAAAAGCCGGAGTCGCCAGCAGTCTCACCAGGTGATGTCCGGGAACATCTGGGCAGCTTTGAGGATAGCATTATCTATGATGGACCAGCCTGAACTTTTCCAGGCTGCAAACATAGGTGACTTGGATCTTCTCATGCGAGCCTTCAACTTAGACATTTAAAGAAGACAAAAAAAAAGACAAGGAAGAGATGACAACGTCTCCCTGATTACTAATTYTCTGATTTCTACCTGTAAGCCAAAAACCCAAAGTGCACATGCCTGAGTTAACATGTGTTAAACTCGTAGATTTAAGCTACAGTGGTCAAACCCTGTCATATAGTTTCGCCCTACTTCTTTGGAGCAGATCAGTGGGGAGGGGGCCAGTTCTTCCAAGGGTTTTGGACAAACATCTTCACGATGGAATTTGCACTGCAATTTGTGATTTCCCTAAAGAGCACAAGGACAGGCAAAGATTGTTTGAGGAATGCCTTAGAGAGCGCGTCAATTAAAATCTGACTCATCCAGTGGAAATGAGGAGGGCAGCCAGTTTTAAGACACCCACAGAGACGCCCCACCCCCACAAGCCATTTGCAGCAAACTCGACGAGGTTACTGGAGAGAAAAACTGCCGACTCAGGATTGTTTCTCCCTTCTACAAGATGGATTCAGGCTGCATCTCATAACCTGGGGCTCCGGACTGTCTTCCTGGCTTGTGCTCCTCTTCTGTCAATGGAGAGTTACAGTATATTAAACTGCATAAATAAGCATTTTTCAAAAGCGGATACTTGTTTAAAAACTAACATACTTGTAGATTTTCCCTTTGCACTTCAGACAGTAAGATGACTTCTAAGAAATCCAAGTGGAATGTGCAACCCTTACTCAAGCCTTACTCAGAAGCATGCATCCAATTCTATTTATTTACACTATTTATAAAGGCAACAACAACAAAAACAAATATTGTAAAGCAATTTTTCAGACTGGTTTTGATTTCTTTACATATATGCTGTTTTATTAACTTGGAAAGATGCTGAGCCATTAATTATATCACTGGGTTTTGGCACCAACGCTCTTGTTGTTCCCTTTAAGCTGAATGGCAGAGAAAAAAACAGTTTAGGTGGGAAAAATGATTAGTTATATTTCATTTTAATCTGCGTTACAGGCATCTTCTCTAACAACTGATGTAAGCACCATAGTTTGTTTTTTTATTTCTCCAGAGCGCAGTTGCTTTATTACAGCGTAGCATTTCACACACAAAGGATTTGTTTATTTCGAGACAGCAGCTTGGTGAGCTTCTTAATGCAGTTATTTGCATTTACGTTGCCCAGGCTTATGTGATTAATTAAATGGGTTCCCGTCAGCCATCATGCATGATTCAAATATTTATATGATGCTGCTCAGAACGTTGCATTTATTTGTTTTGCTACATTAATATGCATCTATATATATAAAAAAATATGTAATAAAATTTCATGTTCCAGATAAATGTTCTACAACACCCCAGAAGCTTTCTCATAAACACGAGTTTTCAGCTGGCAGCTTCATTTGARTCATAGTTTCCAGTTTGAAAGTCATTGTGTAAACTGAACATCAAGCCTCCCTCCTCACTGTGCGACAGAGGAAATGATAGATAATCTGCTGTTCTGTGCGGCTCAGCACACTCTGGTTTTTATCAGGTGTGTTCACAGTCCAGGTGTGCTGCTGGAAAGTGCGTCTCTTTTTTTATTGTTGGCTCCTATGCAAAAGGTCACGTTTCATGTTGCTATTCTGAATTGTCGGTTTGTCCCCCGTCGGCCTCAGTGAACCAAAGGGAAGTGTTGTTTCTGTGCTTTGAATGAATGCTATCAGGGGGAACCAGAGACCAACACCAGAACCATTCATCTTCCAAATGGTGCAGCTGGGATGTCACCCTCTGTGTCAGAAGAAATGTTTCATCAGGGGAGGAGGGAAAAAACGCCATCGGGCTAAAGTGCTGTCTTTACATTTTATGAATCTCTGCAATTGAAAAAAAAGTATCTTTGGCTGCAGTTGGATCTTTAAAAGTTACAGCTGTATGCATTGCTCAAATATTCACATGTGCACCGACTTCACCATTTGAGAAGAAGAAAATCCCCAGCTGTGATAGTTGTCAAAAAAAAGACACTAAGTGACACTAAAACCAGCAAGATTATATTTCAGATTAAAAATATTCATTATTAACTATAAAAATATTCTGGATCAAATCAATGAAAACTGGAAGAAGTGTACGTTGAATATGTAAACAAAGCATATATGTTTTCATGAATATTTTAGGAACATTGTATGAAAAGAATTGTGTGAAAATAAATAAAAAAGAAATGTTGATTAAAGGTTTGAGAAATTGCTTGTAAAAAGATTACTTGTATTCGTGCTTCCTGAAATTAAGAGCAAAAGAATCATAAGAGAAATACAGGAAATATTAAAAAAAACAACATGGTATGGATTATAATAAGGATGGTTTATTAGAGAAAAATAATGGTGATATGAAAGAAACATGGCGAGTAATGACTAGTGTTTTGAAGAGTCACAAAGTACGATTTTACAATATTTTGTAAAAGATGGGAAAAAAACACCTAATCAGAATGAAATTGTGAATGTATTTAATAATTGTTTTGCGAATGTTGGTCCAAGTTTTGCAGCAGAAACACCAAAAGTATAAGAAAACATGAGTGCTGATTGAGTGTGTGGACAGGTGTCTTTTATACAGGTAACGAGTTCAAACAGGTGCAGTTAATACAGGTAATGAGTGGAGAACAGGAGGGCTTCTTAAAGAACAACTAACATGTCTGTGAGAGCCAAAATTCTTACTGGTTGATAGATGATCAAATACTTATTTCACACAATAAAATGTAAATTAATTATTAAAAAATCATACATTGTMTTTTTCTGRATTTTTGTTTTAGATTCCATCACTCACAGTTGAAGAGTACCTATGATAAAAADTACAGTCWTCTACAAGCTTTRCAAGTGGGAAAACCTGAAAAATCAACAGTGTATCAAATACTTGTTCTCCCCACTGTATATATATATATATATATATATTTGTGTTATTCTTTATGACATGTGAGTAAAGTTTAAGGTGCTGGATTGAGATTAAAGCAGACTGGCATTAAAACTGCAATTAAAATAAACAAACAAACAGTAAAATATTTTCAGCCATGGAATGGCCTTACAGATTATTTAGCAGTAAATTCAAATCTTTATTTAAACACGTTACGTGGCAAGCGTTCGAGTTTCCCTTTTACTTAATGACTTCATCTTAAAACACACACTGGTTCTGTCAGCTGGTTTACCTTAAACTACAAAGAAGCAACTGCAGGCATTTTGACTAATTAGTGCAGAGCTGGGCTCCTAAGAAAAACAAACCCACACAAAACAAGGAATGTGCAGAAAATTGTTTTGAACTTTATAGTGAGTAAGCTTTTTTCCCAGTTTCTCTTAAAACTTAACTATTAAAGAACCTGAAGCAGGTTTTTGAAAACACCAAGTGGGTGTAATTATTGTACTTTGTTGTGTATTGTCATCATGTTCTTGTTTAATTGACTATAGCTGTGCACTTTATCCAGCAGAAGTTGGTGTTGCAAGTTTCTGCTATTATTTTGTTTGAAGATGAAATGCTTTGAAATCACTGTTTTGTTTTTTTTTTCTTTTTGAAATGGAGTTGTGTGGAATAGTTATAAGACAACATTCAGAGTAATTTTAGTTTGGAGAATAATGGAAATGTTTAAGCAGGGAAGTTAAACTAATCGTTATTTACCACAGAGCTCATTCAAAGGCAGATGTTATCCAATAGGGGTGGGTGATACTAGCAATGTATCAGTCTGATACTGATACTAATCCTGGTATGGATAGTACTGAATGCTAGATCGATACGCCCAGCCCTACTATATAAACCAACAACAAAACTTCAGAACTTTCCCAGCACTGTATTTTTTTGCTTGTTTTTTTCTAAGGGGCAGCTGTTTTCACTACACTGCAACATTTAGCCATATTAAAATACATTTAAAATACTAGATCCTAGATTGAATCTTCTCAAATAAAGGGAAATAATAATGCAATAAGACCTAACCTGCACTTGGTAAAACATATTTAAATAAGGAACAATTTCCAAGCCAAAAAGATTATTGATCCAAYATATTCTGCTCTTGCTGAGTAAATCAGTCTCAAACCAAAATCAAAACTACATTTTTGGCTGGATCTAAGATTGTAAGACATGGTCAGATGGACAATTTTTGCAATGCATATTCTTAACCAACCACTGCTAATTTTATTCAAACGTGGGAATCACCTGTCTGATCACAAAACAAGTAAAACTGAGTGAAATAAAATGTTGAAACAAAGTGCCTTTTTCTGTAGCGATGGGTCAAAATGACACAGAATTAGTAAACTCAACTAYTCATTGATGTTCATTGGCTTCCTCTCAAAATGAGTAAGAGCTGATTTATAGAAATACTTCAACGCACTCACTCAAACTGCTAAAACTAATAACCAGTTATTTTAAAGCAATTCACTTTTCAGTGGGCCCGAGTGCTCTGAGTAGCTGTTTGACTCCTTTGTCTCCTCAATTCTCCAAGCTCAGATCGCTCCGACTGATTTCCACTACAGATAATAGCAGCCCTACTGGCTACTTATTAGTACTTTGAAACAACTCCCTTTCAAATAAACAAAGGCCAAAGATGGATCATTTTTACTACATGTCATTAATCTATTTGAATTATAGTTATGCAAGGAGATCCATCCAAAAATTAAGTTAGATTTAAAAAAAAACAATCTTAAATGTCCCATCTTTAACAGTGAAAACCCACCAACCTCCAGCTTGTTCAGCTTCTCTCAGATCTTTTAACTATTGAAAAAGTTGGACTAATGCTTCAGTTTTTATTTACATTTCTAAGTCTGTTCCCAGCCCTGCCTGTTGTTCTGTGTGTCGAGCAAACCAATAGAAAACATGACCTGTGATTTTATGATTTACTTATCAACTRAGTTTCTAATCTGGCTCTGGGCACCTTTCCTTTTTAACTTAAGGTTTCTCTGTTTATTTATTTATTTAATGAAAGAGATTTTCATGTACTGTATCTGACTTCAGCATCTTCAGTTTGTCTCATATAAAGCTGAGGATGCCTGGTAACCACGTTTTGTTTTTGTAGAACTACCTTCTCAGGTGAAATGAAGTAGCTTAGCGCATGCATATGAGGAACAACATGAGGCTGACTGACAGCATGTAAGACTTGTTTCTCCCCGGAAGTGATATTTACATTTGTATGCATGCAAGTGCTTTCTTTTGCTATATAATGAAGTTTYCTTGCAGCGTTTCTACAATATTCTGCAGCCTTGACACTAGGAGATATTTAAATAGCCAGCATTTATTTACTATCAGTGGTTTCTTGCATAYGACAGACAAGGTATGCAGGGCTTCAGTCAACATTTAGTAGAAAATGAATAACACRTTTCAATTTCTGTCAAAAATAATTAAGCCTAGACTCTGGTGCCCTGCTGCAAATAGTTGTTATATTCAGTAGAAATTTTTGGAATTGCCTCTTCTACAAATTGCAAACACACTGCTGAATGTGGCTGTGGCCCCTTTCCAGCGATTGCATCATTCTTTAGTGTTCAAAACGACTGAAAGAGACTTTTCTTTAGAATATATTAGACTAGTGATGGCTTTAATGCTTGCAAACTCACTAAAGATGTGAGGAAAAACTATTTTTAAAAATGGTACGAAGACTTTTTTTTCCTCAGCGGTTTGTGAAAAGCTGGAGAAACAATGTTTAAAATAAACTACTAGAATTTGTTTTCTAATAAAATAATTAATGCAGAAATATCAGTACAAATACTTTTAGATTTTGAATTCAATTGAAATTGCCAGAATGGTGTCTGAAATTTTAAAAAACAATTTACAGAACCTAAATTAGCGTTTGTACGGAATTTTGTTGTGTTTTGCTTGTTTTTTTTATTTTTTATTTCATAAATCACACTAGATTTGTTTATTTCAAATGTTCTGCTTTGTCAGTGATGGTTACATGTCTGTTTCTTTGTAGCTCAATGTAGGAAAAAATAATTTCTGGAATGTTTCTTTAAAGGTTGGGGTTCATRAAGGGTATTTATCTGTTTTATGTACATTTCTTTCCTCACTCTTTACAGTCACCTAGTTTATCAGTACTTCACACGTGATAAAATAAAATTATATTTTGATGAAAAAAAGTAGTAACTATATACTTTACAGACATTTATTGAAACACCTACTGTAATGCTCATTACTCTGCTGTATAATCACAAAAGGAAGCATTAGCACCTTTAATCTGTACATTATGAGAGCAACCTTTTAAAATAAACTGTTATATATTTTCTGCTTGTGTCTATTTTTCCAGTTTAAAATAAAAGATCTGCAGTGAAATTTAATAATCAAGGCAATGTTCAACAAAGGTGTACTTTATTAAATTAACCAAACRTTACAAAGTAAACAGTGCCACTGGGTATACTGTACTGCCCTGACTAGAATTACGTACACATGAAGCCATATTTAGATTAAAGCCTGTGTTAAACAACTTAAAATAGTTCCTTCAGGAAAACTAATGAAAACTTAAAAAAAAAAAAAAAAAACGGCACTAATTTTAGCAAAAACGCATCAGAGGAAACACAAATGAAGAGGTTTGACATTTAGTTAAATGAAAGGGGCGAGGGGGGTTGCAAAATTATCTTTGTATAATCCAAATAACTAAATGTCAAAGTTTAGTGTACAAACTGACATATTGAACCGAAATATCTGGACGAGAACTATGGAAGAGACCGAGCAGGGAAAGCTGCAACAAAACTAAAATACAAAAAGACTAATCATATAACCAGGAGGACAAGGGAACCAAATAAAACTAATTTCACAGCATTTGTGGACATTTGTGACTAACACTGCTGCGCAAGACAGAAAAAAAAAGACTGATTAGCAGTAAAAACACAAATCTTGCATAGAGACTTAGTATTCCCCGCTGCATAGGCAACAAAACACTGCATCTTGTTTATGAGGTGGTGGAGATTTGACAGAGGTGAAATTTTGCTTTGACACAGTGTTAAAGGCCAGTGCTGCCGAAAAGATTTCTTGTGTAAAATGGATATTCCTCAGAATTTTACCTGTAAGAAATGCAAAAACTGCCTCACTATTCTTATTTGTTTTTGTTCGTTTTCCAACAGGTTTCCACACATGCCTCCAAGTCTTCTTTCAATTCTTAGAAAATGCATATTTGATGTCTGCAGGAYTGGCTTCTCCTTGACCAGGCTCTAAATGGAAAATATTAAGCAGAACTTGCAGAATGACACAAAATTTATCCTCCGCGAACGTCAAGACATGAAACACAATGTGAACCACTCAGAGAAAGAATGGACGTTTTTGTCAATAACTTAACATCGAAATGCCTTTTTGTTTTTTTAGATGCAGCAAAAAAATAAATAAAGTTCAGTCCATTGTAGTGGCATGTAAATACAAAGATCTGAACCATAATATTGAGATGATTTTGACAGTTTCCTCTAAGAAACAAGCACAAACTGAAGTATTAAATACACCCTGAATGCTATGGACATTATGCATAGATGGTACAAAGCTGGTAGATAAAGTTTCTGGGGTTATAATGACTTAATTGGAAGTGGCTACTTGTACTGTTTATGTGGATTATGAATATTAAAGCTGAAGAGGAGGTTCAATTTGCGGCAAGCACCATAGAGTTTTACATTCAGTAATGCACAGGATCTGTTGACGAGGTGCACTCAGGAGTTCAGCTTTTATTATACAGTATATTGTTCATTTAAAGAGTGGGGTTGGTTGCAAGTAACAAATGAACCAACTGTCCTAAAAAATGGCAACAAGTGTAGAAAAAAAAACATTTATTTTGTCTTTCGGGGTCATAGTCTGAATCTGTCAGGGTGATAAAGGAACCAAACAGCAGCAGGTGCAGCCGATTTAAAGTATGCCAAGAATGCAAATATTTTGCTTTTTGGGCAAAAACAAAATTATGACTTAAAAAAATAAAGTTTGCTGCAGGATCGAGAACTTCAATTTGAAGGTGCAGTGCAACAGTCACTGTTAAACAGGCCAACACATGCTATAATCAGACATTAAACTCAACACTGTAGTCGATTAAGAAGCACTGAAACTGAAATGAGAATATCACATTCACTCGCATAAAGTGGTAAATACACAAGGTCCACTTTTACTGTATAGGGGGCAGAATATGGACTTGTTATAATCACAAAGTGCTTATGGGAAGAAAATACCAGTGGTGGGCACAGTTACGCTAATAGCGGAACTAACTACTCATTAATGGGAATTAGCATTTTTTTTCTAACTTTGGAAACTGCTGGTGGACAGATTAGCTTAGGCTAAATTAGGTTATGCTAAAATGTTCAAGTGCTAAATGTCTATTTTCATGCCATTTATCCCAAAGGAAATAAAAACTATCACCTCTTACAAGCAGTGATGGACGTGTGTGTAGCATGTAGCATCATTAGAAAAAAAAGTAGCATCATTAGCAGCTAAACTTCAAACTAAGAGGGCCGAAAAGAAATAAAATGACATTYAAAAATATTTAAACACAGAAAAAAAATGAATACGTACACAATATGGTAGAGAAAGTATTTGTTATTTCTTTTTTGACTAACTTCAAAAGGATATTAATAAAAATAGAAACTCAATCAAAAAAATGCTTTTATTCTAAAAGTGTTAAACTGGAAGTATCACAAGTTAGACAGGGCCATAACCTGTTTAGTTTGGCTGATTTGCCAGATTCTGCCAATAGAAAAATAACAGGTTTATATCAGCCCCACCAGTCTTCAACTGGAAGGAGATGAAGACGTTTTAGCGGTTAGCATTAGCTCATCCCAATTTTCATTTCTGTTTAGTGGTTTTATCGTTAGCAGAACTAAGATTCCTGTTTAGCAGATTAGACATTAGCTTCACTAACTTTTTAGTTAGCTGTGCCCACCACTGGATGGTACGAAATCCACCTGAGTAACTCAACCAGTGCATAAAAAAAACACGAGTTTTCTGATTGAAAGTGACAAACTTGCACATTTTTTTACAACAACTCCTAAAACTGGGGCAGTATTGAGCTATCATTCAGCTAGTTATACTGTATATTTACAGTCTAGTTAACATCTTTTTTTAAAACCATCTAGTTGTATTAACTTTCCAGTTCAGTTACCTCACAATGAAGAGCATTCACTGTAATTTAAAGTCAAATGTAAAGCGGATTCCTCGTCTGTTGTGTTTACTGAGCATTTTAGGGTCAGCAGTGCAGCACTGCATCATCACTATACATTTATAAAATGTAGCACTTTGAAAGTGCAGCACAGTAGCTAAAGGCAGAGAGGAGGAACGTCCTGATGTGATATGTTAGTTTACGGAGAACTCCAGAAACAGAGATTGCACACATCCCTCAGTACCTACACATGTTCTTTTTTGGATAAACACTGAAATATACATTTAAAGCAATAACAACTAACGCACATGAAGCAAATCGCTTTCCCCTTTTTCTGACCAGAGTTCTTGGTTGCTCCTGTTTGAGATCTTGATAAGGCAAGCAGCTGGTCTGTGAGGTTTCTTCCATCATTTTCACTGTTGTTACATTTGTCGGTCAGTCAGTCCTCTAGGAGAAAGACCGATTGTTTAAAAACTGCAGGGATGGGGGTGTGGGGAGGAGGAGAGGGGGGTGCGACTTTAACTGCTAGAAAGTCGGTGGTAAAAGTAGATGTAGCCCAAGTCTTTTGGAGGCCTTTCTGACAAACACACTTTGTGGTCGTTGTAGATCACCCACCTGCATTTAAAAATAAATCAATTAATTAAAAATATACTTTTTATTTTGTTTGGGTAAAAAATATAAATAATTTTATGGCTTGATTGTATTTTTTGAAGTAGCACACAGACAATTTTAAATAAAATGACTAACAGAAAATAAAACCACTAATAAAAAGTGTTTCTTGTGACTATCAAGGATGTCTGGATGTTGTCAGCTTAGTCCCTAAAATACATTAACTGGATTTTATCTGTATAACAAACAGTCTGTAACTCACCTTCCTTCCTTTTTGATGTGACAAACATAATGTCCAGACATTGTAGATGCTCCCATGTGACTGATGAAGGCAAACAGTTCATATCCTAAAAACAGGACAACAGACGTAAAGGTTTTCATACTGAAGCAGTCAGAATCAGATAGGCATGTAAAAGACAACAAAATACGTTCTTGCAAAAGGAGCCCCGACTAGTTGTAACAGACATTATTTGATAAAAATGTACTTCAAAACAAAGACTGTAAAAACTAGATACCGTATGGCGGTGACTTAATGACCCCTGCACGGACAAATGCACCAGAACTCAGAAGTCTTTATTCCTAATAAATGTCATGCTACTTGGTGCATCCCAAGATTGTACTGGCTTGGATGGGGGTCTTTTTTTGGAGGGGGTGGTGGGGGGGGAGATGGTTGACCTGATAGATAGCCCCTCATCAGAGCTAAACAACCAACAAAAATCTGAAGCTCCTATGTTTAATAGTTTTTGAGCTAGAACCATTTTTGTATGACCAGATACCCCTTTTTCAGATAAATTGGGGGGTCTGGGGGTGGGGGGGATGCGTACTGATTGATGGATGGGTCTGATGGATAGAGCTTCAGCAGAGCTAAACAATAAAATAAATCTGAAGCTTTAATGTTGAACAGTTTCTGAGTTATAAGCATTTTTGCATGTCCTGACACCCCCTCTTTGGATGGAGCCCCCTCCTCAAATATGGGGTGTATCGTAAAACCGTTGGCTGGCGCAGTGTAGGTCAGACTCATCTACAGTCCTGCCAAATTTCATGTTGATTGGTGCAGCCGTTTTTGTGCAACGGTCAGTGGTGGACAAAGTACTCAACATTAGTACTTGAGAAAAAATACTGATACTCATGGTCAAATCTTACTCAAACACAAGTAAAAGTTGCTCCGTCAAAAATCTACTCAAGTTAACGTACTGAAGTACTTACCTTTGAAAATACTTAGGTATTGAAAAATACTTGCATTTAAAAATACTCAAGTATTCAAATTAAATTGCCTAATATCAGTACATTGCTGTATTGCTTTCAGAGTGAAATTACAGAACCTTGTAACTCTCAGAAACCACCTGATGTATCGACACATAGAACCACTCTGCTATAAATTCTACACCACCTGTAAAGACTTCAGCATAAAAATGCAATAAAGTGAGTGGTGAGTTCCTAAAAGCAGAAATGTAGTTTATCCACAGTGAAAACATAAGACATTTAAACTGATACAAAATATTTTTCAGTCCTAAAATATCAAACATCGAGCTGAGATAGGACCATGCTGCTCTGGTTTCTCCACTCGAGTTTCTTCAACCGTCTCCATTGCTGGGCTCTGTTTGAAACGAAGGTGGAGCTCAGCTCCCCACCATTAATGAGGATGACATAATTCCAAATCTATCCCAGGTGTGAGCTATGACTGTGATTGGTTCCCCTTGTGAGGAACAKAACGTGTGGCCAAATGCAATTCAAGAAAAAAAACAGCAACAATGGATCACAAAGCTATGCTGAGCCAAAAGTAAAGAGTAACTAAAAAGCTTTTAAGAAATGTAGTGGAGTCAAAAGTACAATATTTGTCTTTGAAATGTAGTGGAGTGAAAGTCATTAGTTCCCCAAAAAATAATTACTCAATTAAAGCAAAGTTACTCAAAAATGTACTTAAGTACAGTACTCAAGTAAATGTACTCCATTACTGTCCACCACTGGCTACGGGTGACCAAAAATCATTGAAATTAAAAAAATGAATAAATAAATAGTACGAAAACAATATGACTCCCGCTAAAGCTTTGCATGCGGGTGTCATAATAAAGTAGGCTTTTGGTTTTTAATAAATTTTTAAAAATATACTGTCACACGGACACGCCATATTATTTACACCGCAAAGCATATTGGGTAAATGGTGACTTCACTAGGTTCTCTGCTGACAAAAGTCTTTTTTTTACCTCCAGTGCGAGGCTGCAAGCTCTATCCACCCTTAAAGTTAATCTTGGACAATATCCGATGATCGACTCTTATAAATTAAACCAGAGCGTGTTCACAGAGAGGAGAAGGTAGAAATGATTCAGTCTGCAACTGAAAATATGGATGGAGGACAACAGAGCTGCTTCATATAAGAAGAACCTTAGCTTAGCCTGTTAGATTTTGCGTTAGCGCCCGAGCTAATGCAAATAGATGTGGCAATATATTCAGTGTACAAGTTGATTCTAACTTTCCACTTGTTAGAAAACAAGACATAAAAACACTTGTCCTTGCTGAAACACCAAGATCCCCCACSAAGGAGGTGCACCCCACAGTGTGAGGGCTACTGCTTCAAGCAAAGATCAACAGCGAGTCAAATTAAAGTCAGTTGTTAAAGTACTCACGTCCCGGGCCGTCTTTGACTCGGGGGCCTGACAGGTCTCGGTCTGGAGACAGTGTGGAGTCGCTGTGAGAGTTGGTGTTGGAGAAGGGGTTGTCGTTGGGCTCTGTGTCGGCCATATCTGAAAGGGCGTCGCTCTCCTCCTCCTCTGGGTGGGTGAAGATCCAGTCGAGTGCTCGTTCCAGATTATTGTTCTGGGAAAAATGACAAAGGCAAACTCACTGACAGCTGCTCCACCTCCGTTACTTAAAGAGGACATACATAACAAATCCACTGTTTTAGCTGTTAAATGCATTTTGTTGTGTACTTGGAGTATCAAGGAGTGCTCATTTGTCTGTGGCGTTAGCAAAGCATCTCCTAAACCAGTGGAAGGACTTAAATGAAAGTCAGAAAATAATCCTTGGGTGTGCATTTACAACTTATTAACTTTTGCAGAGACACAAGCAGATTAAATGCTTTGGCTATGGGAATGATGCAAYGATTTAAAGGAAACAATTCCGAATAAAAAACGTTTTCTTTTTTTTAAGTTATCCTCAGTGCTACTGCCGCTCTGTGCTAAACACAAACTCCTCAGCAAAAGTAAAAGAACCAGTTTCTGGTAAACAGTTTCTTGGGGAGGTGGCAGCATTAATCTCTGTTAAATCATCGCTGAAGAGGTTTGTTTTTAATCCTGAACAGTGATGTAAGTGTCTGAAGAGTGTCTGGGGAGACGGTTTGGATGATGGCGTCTGTTTTTCCTGTTCTCTGTGAGGTCACTGGGGTTGGAGATTAAAAAAAAAGTCCCTCATACTAAATATGGGCTGACAGTAAACCAGCAGTGAGACCCCTCTCTGTTTCACACCTCCCTCCCTCAGGAGGACGAAACATTCTTTGTTTTGTTTAGGTTTTTTTTTTTCCACTCCGACAACAACAACATGGCTGGCAGGGASCTCAGTGACATTACTAATGATAAACATGAAAGTCCGGGGTCTATTTTTGTGTTGCCCCAGCAGTCTGTGGGGCTATTTTGTGCTGGGGGGAAGGGGGGTTAAATTGAAATATGAAACGTGAAATGTGAGCATCAAAGGCCATTTCAAGAGCAGGGAGAAACAAATACATCTGCAGCAGGTGCATTTTCTTTGACTCAAAGAAAATAAAAGTGAATCCTTGGCCCGAGAAATGTTTTTTTTT